GGACCTGCAAAAACCAAGGGATTTATCCACAGAAGTGAGACACACTCCCATAGGCAAAGTGCTGAGCTCCTGATACAAGGAATCCTTCTGTGCTTGCAAACACTTAATCACATTACATCTTCTGTGGAGCTCATTGTTGAAATCCTGCTTTAATTCTCCAACAGCTGCTTCCTAATATGGACTAATACAGGTTGCATTACATCTCTCTATTTTTAGTGCACATGTTTTTGGCCATAACAACTGCTCTTTCAGGCCAAGTCAAACCTGCAGAGAAAACACAGCTAAGAGACAATGATTAAAGATGGGGAAATGCAACGTAGCAGTAACATGTGTTTAAGATTTATACCTGTTCAGGGAAAGCATTCCCTACATTTGATACCTGTACACCAGCACTTACTTAAATTATTACCAGCTTTGATAAATTGTTAAAACAGGTTGAAAAATAACTATTCACGTTATTTTGTGAATTAAAATATTGATCTTCCTGTTATTTCACTGTGTGTGCAGCACAGTTGCATTAAAGGAAAACCGGTTCATTTAAACTGACAAAAGGGTTTAAAGTAAACCCACATTTAAGAGTAATTTATGAGGTCTATATCATAAACATGAAATAACAACCTTCTGTCCAAAGACAAGCTGCTCTCTCTCATGCTCCTGGACTGTATTTTATATCAAATCCTTCCTATGTAAGGAGACTTTAATACATCACTGGAGGCTTTTGGAGTAGTTGTAACAGAACTTACTTTTCCCAAAGAAATGGGAAGTTTTATGACATGGTTAGAGGAGATTCCTATGCTTTCACAACATGGTTTGATTCCATTTTGAACATTGATATTTTCTAAAAATCAAGAAAAACTGAAAATTTTTCCCATTCACAGACTCTGATGGCAAAGAAAATATGCAAAATATGTGTCAAAATCTCAGTAAATAGTTAAACTACTGTTGTTCCATGATAGTTCAAAAAAAAAACCAATTACTGCAGCTGAGGCTGTGGTGGATATTGTCACACGGAAACAGCTTTACTGTATGTCACAAGCTCACAGAGGGCAATGAAAGAAGCTCCTTCTCAAGGGTTGGGCACTGCAAAAATCATGTATGATGTCTTAAAAGAGATCTTTCTCTCCTGCCTGGCTCTTCTGCAGGGAAATTCTTACTTGTATGTATTAAAACCTGCAAACAAAACTCTTTGCCTCCACTCTCTCCATAGCAAAAACACTTCTCCAGGACCTTTGACAGGAAAGTTGTCAGAGCTATCTTTAAAGTGAGAGCAAGGTGTGACAGGAGGTTTGTGCAGATGCTGCGCACTGTCCAGAGATGAGAAGTGTTTCACATCACTGCTGTGAAGCTATTTCCCATTTCCTCACGACTCCCTGCTCAGAGCAACTGAAACCAAACCTTCCCTTCCTTCTCCCTCGTTGCATGTGCACCTGGAAATCTTTTAATAGGTTTTCTGTTTGCCTCACAGGGGCTCATGTTCATGCCTGAGCAGAAATGTGCATTGTGACTTGAACTCTCTCTCTCTTGCTGGATGACAGGTGATAAAAATAAAACATATTCACATATCATATGACTAACAATAGCACCTGGCCCATGGTGATGGGATCCCTCTTTTGCTGCTGGAGCACTTTGGAATTCAAACAAAGGAACTAAAACATCAGCTCTGGGATTTTTTTTAACCCATTAGTAGACACTTCAGGCTCAAATCTCAAGGATCCAGTCATGCAAAACCTTAAAGTACTTTCCCATTCTTGAATACAGCCAGATTAATCCTCTTATACAGATTATTCCAGGAGAAATTTGGCTCCCACAAAGTTCTCCTGCAGACCTAAAAATAATTTTCAGTGCTGCAGGACATGTAACACCATTCAGACTAAAGGAGTTGTTTTAGAGATTTTAACCACCCCTTATCAAACCAGCCTGATGGCATTACCTGGCCCCAGGCCACTTTCCCTCTCCCAAGGCTGGGGTCTGCAGGGAGAGCACCACATCTCTGGGTAAAACACAAGGGCACTGCCCTTGGAAAGCTGTGCTCTCTGTCCCCCCAGCAGCACTTCCTAATTAAGTTCATTTTGCTTTCTTGAAGTTCTTTCCTGCCCCTCCTTCAAATACTCACATATTGCATCACCAAAGACTTTTGTTTCACAAGTTATTAAATTCATATATCACAGGAAATGTGCCATTGAGCAATTTCGCTCTGTTTAAATTCTTATGACATGATCAATAATTAGCATTAAAAATTCAGCTGATATTTTGTACTTTGAGTCCCAAACAAACCCAGATTATGCCATCTACCTCTGAATTACAGAATTTTAAGAAGAAAATACATAGAGGTGGTTCTTGTGTATTTAGAAAATAAAAGAACAGCAGTAAAGACAGAAAAATGCCCAAACATGGCAGCTGTGTGCCCTTGAAAAATACTCATTTTATACTGTGTTTAGACAGACCTGTCTTTTTCTGTCTGTGTCATACTACAATGCAGGGTTTGTATTTAAGATGTCTGGCATAGAAATATCCCCATGTATTTACAACCTCCAACCTTTCCTGCCAAGTTTTAGCCAAGGGTGAGCCAAATTTTAAGCCACTGGAAAACAACCTCTAGTACAAATTTGACCAGTCCATGTTGGTGAGCATCACTGTAAAGAGACCTTTTCCCAGGAGAAACTCTGGAAGCACACCCCTAGATGGTCACTTCCACACAGTTTTATTAGAAATTGACCTTTTGTGTGTCAGACAGGATTAATTTTTTCGTTTCTAAACTTGTGCACAAAAGTTAATTCAAAGCAGACAGGAGGCAATTAGGTCATTAATGTACTGAGCCTTTTAACAGCCATGAGTTACATTTCTGTCCCTCAACAATGACAAAGATCCAGGGGTCTACCTTTAAGTGGGAAAGCCCACAGGCAATTGCATTATTTTAGAACAGGGCTACTGCCAAGCAGCACTGCAGGGGCTTGTCTCCCTTCTTGGCACAGCAGAAGGAATCAGCACCCAAGGGATGGGAATTTTTTTCCCAGTGCAGCAGTGGCTCTCCAGAGGCCTTCAGGAAGCAGGAGGTGCCACTGGAAATGCTCTTTTTTCAGTATCTTCTTTTAGTATCTTCATGCTCACTCAGCTCCTCTTTCCCTTTGTGATCCCATGTAATTATTACCCAGTGTCTCCCCAGTTTCCTTCCTTTAGTTCTTCCTTTCAGGGAGGGAATTCCAGTTCTGCCAAGGACAGGGAGCATCCTGCCCCCAGAAAAAAGTCAAAAGGTTCAGTGGCCAAAGGGTGAGGCTGATTTCCTGGACTGATTCTGGTTCAATTCAGATTTTAACTAATGGTTGTCTCATTTTACGGTGTAAGAATTCTGAAATGCATTTTCTGTGACCACAGGGTTGCAGCACCTATGGAGCTTGGCTGGGAAATCAGAGCAGTGCTGAATTCTGACGTTTTCTCTGAAAAGAGACATAAGGGATCTGTAACTGTAACCAGATCCAAGATTTCATTCTCAGAGAATCAGAGAGAAGATTGGCTTAGTCTGAACCCCTGAGAATGATAAACCTGCTGAACTATTAAGAGCTCAGCTCCACACAGGAGAAAATAAAGGTCCTGGCTGCAGGACTTACCAGCAGCACTGCCAAGGAGCACTCAGTATAGAAGCAGGCACAGGTTGTTTTGCTGATGTACAGGTCTGATTAAATACAAAAACTGAGATAGCAAAGCCTTACAGGCAAACTTCAGGCTCCTGGCTGCCTATTCCAGTGAGCTCCTCCAGGCCTCTTCCACTGCTGTTCCCACAAGGAAGCTTTTTGTGCCTCCTGTTGCTGCCACATCTTTCCATGTCCAACATCAGCCTTGTCCCTGGGCACTCAGCTCTTCCCACAGCAGTGATTCTCACTCCTGTACCCAGGAAACCTCCCAGCCCTGCTCCCCATTTTGCCCCTTTGGTAGCCCAGCAGCAGAACTCACTGCTCCATTTATGCAATCCATCCAGGAGAAGGCAGGAGAGGAATGAAAGGAACAGAAAATAAAAGGACACTGCAACCTAATGAAGAGATTTCACAAAGTTCATAAAAAATACCTCCTCTGCAACACACCCAGAGATAATTCCAGAAAGGATAAAATTTAATTGCTCTAAAGAAGCAAAAAAATAGTTTATATCAGCTGGCAAATTGACTGTGTGGCTTTGAAAGTGGGAGAAGATTGGATATGATTAATGAACAGAGTTGGCCATTTTCTCTTGAAAAAATGACAGCAATGTATAATATATGGTATAACAGCTGTTTTATCAGATAGAACTTAAGTTTGAGTCAAACACCAAATAGAAAAAGCAAAGTCAAGCTCCAAGTTAAAAAAATCACCTTGCGGATCTACATCTGGTAGTTCCAAATGCACACAAGCCCTTACAAAAGCAATTAAAAACCATAAAATAATACAAAGTCTGCTTAGCTGAGCCTGATATGACTCTCCTACAAAGAAGTAAGAATGGTGGTATGAGAAACTGAAAAAGAAGGCAGATTGCTTTGAAAGGCAAACTGTGCATCTCTTCCATCTCCAGATATCCCTTTATCCTATTAATGAGCTGTATCCCTGGAGTTGGACTCCATAGATGACACTTGTGATTAAATTATATCAAAGCAGGTGAAATGTTTTCCACACTCTGAAACATGAGGATCCCCATTCTATCCCTGCCTGCTCAGCACAACTTCAGTGGAAAGGCAAGATGAACAGTCCCCATCAACACTGACTTCAGTTATAAAAACCTGAATGTTTGCTAAAAACCCAGTGAATCCCTCTCTGAGCAGTGGTCACGCTGCAGGATTAGAGCAGAATTTATAATTTCACAAGTCCAATGTTACAGCACATGTCCGGACAACCTCATGCCTGTGATATGACTCCTGCCTGAAGCAGCAACAGGTTTCACTCACACTTGCCATCCTTCCCCAGCTCCAGCTGTAACCAGAATTACAAACTACAAACAGAATTCCCATGGCTGCTCTCTGGAGCCTCTCCAAGCTCACCTGCTACAACCTTGCAGTGCTCCTCAGGGCCCTGTGGCCGGGAGGGATGGCCGGGCTTGGCAGATCGTCTCCGCCTGATGAAATGTTCCTTCCCACTGAACGAGGTCTCAGATGCATTCACAGGCTGGATCAGCAGCTGCTCTGATCCAAGCTGGATGTAGCCAACCTGTCGAGAAAACAGAACAAAAAAAAACCATCAGTTTGGTACCCAAGCCTTGTCTAACCAGCCCAGTCTGGAACCCAGGTCATTTCACTGCAATTATTTGCAGAGTGAGGAAATTACAGGATTAAGGTTGTGTTCAACCTGTGTAATACAGACTAAAGAACTTCATTTGCTTCTCTTATTTATTTTTTATATCACTCAGCACTATTTAAAAAGAATTCACTGTACATGCACAAAGGAAAGGTGGGGATTCCTGTCAACACTTTTGCTTTCCCTTCTTCCTCTCCTTCCAGACACAGCCCTACAAATACATTTGTTTTACAAGATGCTCAGCTTCTACAAAGACTAATAAATCCTGTTCAGTGAAATCCCTTCAAAATCACCTCTCCAAGGATTGCCCTGCTATTGAATGACATTTACTGTCTCAGAGCACAGAGGTGACACTGCCTGCACACAGGAGGCCCCTGTGCCTCCCACCCTCACAAGGAACACTCAGAGAACTGATGCGAGACTTGCAGAGCCACACTGCATTTTTTGGGACCAAATACCTCTTCCTGAGTACACTAAGGGCCACACAGTCAGCTCTGCTCTCCCTGCAGGCCACGGGTTGGGTTTCAGAGGTGAAGTCAGGAATGGACTGTTGCACTGTCCCAGTTTCAGGATTTTCCACCATCCTTGGAATAAGTGACACTAGGAAGGCAAAGACTCTGCCTAAAAACCTCCACAGGGTCCAGGTCAGAGCACTAAATCCCTGCTTTCCTTGCACCAAGTCCAGACCTTACAGCAGAGCTGGCAAGAACACCTTTGGAAGCCAGCTTCTGCCCCAGGAGAGCCCTCCTCTGCTCACAACCCAGAGCTTTTAAGGTTCTTTTATGCTTTTTCCACTCCTTTTCTGGCATGAAAATAAGAGAGTGAAAGCAAAGTTATCACCTTAAAACTTAACAAAGCCTCCAGGTTTAGTAATCAACACCAAGGTTGTAACCTGTTGCACAAAGTGAGTATTTACACAATGAGGCATTCTTACTTTTCATTGCACTAATCCAGTGATCATTTATATTGCAATTAAAAGTCTCAAAACACAGCCCTGCCATGTACCTCCCCCGAGAGAAGTCTTGAGGCCTGATTTAACTTCTGTTAACAACAGAAGGGCTCATCTGGTCTGCCAGGATTGTGCACCTGAGAGGTAAAGGTGCTTCCAGAGAGCTCCAACATCCATCCATCCTATACATAAAAAGAGAGGCCAGACTTTTCTGGTCCCCCCTCCCCACACTCTGTGCCAGCCAGGCAACTCTCCAAAGAAATGCTCTGCACGTACATCCAAATGCTGTATGCTCAACAGCTGACTGAACTAACATGATTTATAACACACATTACATACATACTGTATATTGCACATTTCCACACCTCCCTGCCAAATCTGGTCCTCACGTACACCCAGGAAATCCCTTTGGCCCAGTATTTCCAGCAAGAGGAATTTCTGCTAACAGAAATGAGAGCTCTCCTCCTTTGACAGCCACACGAACTGAACAGCATTCAGGGTGTCTCAGGAAGGGTCACTGATTTCCAAAGAGAGTTTGGACAAAAATAAAACTGTAAAAGTTGGTGTCTCCACTGGGCATGGCTGCAAAGCACAGCAGAGACAATCAGTCCCCTGTCTCTGAGGAGACAAGAGACACCTCTTTGGGGCCTTCCAAAACAGACCTCACTTTTGGGGCAGCAGAATTATTTAAGGATAAAATGCCTTGGCACTTCCTACATACAGAGAAAACCCAACATTATTCCTAGGCCTTACAGAATGCTCACCAGTTTACAAGACTCACTCTGCCCCGGAGTGTCCAAAGGACTGCCTTTTCACTTAAATCACAAGTTGGGCTTTGTCAGAATTGCTCCAGAGACAGCAAAAGCTCTGGTGACTTGTTCTTCCAGCCTCCTTTACGATGCTCTCCACTACTTCCCTTCCTTGTTCCAATCTTCCAGCTGGGAGGTAGCCCCAGCCCCCTTTTTTAATATAGGTTAGAAGAAGGGTTGTAAATCTGGTGCCATGGTACTAAAAGCCACACCAGAGCTCCTGACAGACTGCCAACCATTTCAGCTGGTGCCAAAAATATGTAAGAAGAAGTCAGTTTCATCACCACCCGACACTATCCCAATTTTCTGGCATCAAGAGTGAAAATAATTTAAACCATTGGAAAAGACTTATGTTTCACATTTGCTATGGAATTGTGAAACCTATGGAGAGAAAGAGCCATGAGTCTTCACCCTGGAATACGTTGGGAAGCATCTCAAACTCAATCTGAAAAGGCAACTAGAGTTTCAAGCAGGAAGGGTTTGCAGGATCAGGCCTGTAAAGCATCCCTACGGAATTAAAAATGTTAAAAATTCCCCCAGACTTGCCAGTTGGGTTCTGACAAGTCCCCAGACCTGACAGCCCAAAGGAGAGCTTTTGGACCCTGTAACTTAAATAGTCTGGTCATTATTTTGCTTTTTCCATAAGAAATGCATTCCTCATTTGCATCCCTCAAATGCTCCAGATCCTGCCCTGGGCTAATCCCAGCATAAGAGATCAGACATCAGCCCTGGACAAAGGCTCTGTGCTTTTCTTCTCTTGTCAGAGTTGAGGGACTGCAAAAGGCTTTGGATTTTGAAGATAAGGAAGCAGAAGTACAGAAGACCACGTAACCCTCAAAGCTACTTTTCCTACATCTTAGGAAATCATTCTAAGTGAAATGCTTTGGTTCTGCTAATTCCCATTTACCTGGTGAAATGCTTATCAAAAGCTGGGATACTCCCCTCCTATCCTTCTCTCCCTGTGGGAGTCCACGACCTGCTGCAGTGCCAGATCCTGGGACAGCTAAATTTTGGGAAAAGCAGCTGCTGCCAAGCCCCAACATCCTAGAGGACCTGAGACACAGGAACCCAAAAATTCAGAGGAGTGCAGGAGTGCACCACCATCTGCATTAATTCTACAGTTGGTATTGCCAGACCATGCAGCTGACAGAACCCTGCAGCTTTGCTAACAGGAAAGGCTGGAATGATTTCAGCCCCCAAAGGCAGGCAAACTGACAAGCTAATTAAAACAAACAATAATCCACACTTCCCACTACAGCCCCACTCACCACTGTGTTTAACAGTGGCACGATCTTTCACATTAAGAATCTATCACATCCTCATTTTAGAAGTCAGCTCAACATTGCTCACCACCAAAACATTCCCATGTGCTCTTATCCAGGGTTTCACACACACAGGGGTCACTCAAGCAACCAGCTCACTCTGTGTTCTACTCTTGTACTACTCCTCTGCTGCAAATCACCCAAAAGTGGAGCTTTTCTTGGGCCAAATGACAGCAGGGAAAGGAGGAAGGTCCTCACACTGTGTCACTGGAATGACAGTGGCAATACAGCCTTTGTATGACCCCATCCTGCCTCCTTGGCTTCACTGCTCTGTCCCTGTGCCCTGGTAGTGCTGCTGGAGCTACTGCAGCTCCAGAGCTTGCTCAGAACAGGGATCCAAAATCTCAGTGCTCTCTGCACATGGTTCTGGACCTTCCCACATGTTAATACTCCAACAGTTACACTGTTTTTCCAGCCCTTTTATTTTCATAACATCTTTGAAGGAGATCTGTGAAATGCTGAATCTTTAACAGATTTTTCTCTTGCTCCTAAGTATTCATTAGTTACATACATACGAACACACTGAAAAGAGAACAGATTTAAACATCTGACAAATTCCATCCCCTTCTCAATTTCTCAACTGTTACACTGTAAATCGTTGTTTAACCATTTCCTCAAAGTTAAAAGGAAGCTAATGTTTAAAGTGAAGAACAAAACAACCCACAAATACAGTTTAATACACTTCATGTGGGTTTTAGTCCCACCCTTATTAACCACGTTTCAGCATTGCTTGGTTATTATTTAAAAGTGCAATTCAAGCAAATTGAAAAGAAGAGCATTAAATTAAGTCTTGTTCCAGAGTCATTTCAGGTTTACACTCAGTTCTGAGAGCAGACCATACCAGGAATATCTACCCTGGCCTCCAACTCTGCTAAACAAGGAAACCCCAACATGTTCTCCCTCTTGTCTACTGTGGAAGAGGAAAGAAAATCCCAGCACAAGGAAACCCAGCACAGTAATTTTAAGAGGTTTAACTTTTCAGCTCATGGCCCAGCTACGGATGAATGCCAGACAGCTCCTCTCCCAGACAGAAGAGTTCAGTGGAGCTGAAGGTTTCCTCAGGGGAAATTGTATCATCTTTAATCCCCACACGCCTGCTCTGCCCTGCTTCCCACAGCAGCAGAGGCTCCTGAGTCACCTGAAGGGCAGCACCGCCCCGGTGCACGCAGAAAACACTTCCCTGGCCAGGGATGGAGCTCCCCGAGCTGCAGCATCTGCTCTGAACCAGCCCCACCTCCCTCTGCAGTGGAACTGGCAATTCACCAACCTAAGGTACCTATGGCACCTTCTGCATCCTTGCTCCTCTTCTTCCCAAGGTCAGAGCAGATTTGCTGTTTTACCAGGAGTCCTTGGACTTACTGCTCATTCCCTGGAGGCTGCTCAGTTCTCTGTGCCCTCACTGCCCCTCCAGACAGGCTACAAACCCACACCAGAACATCCAGGTCCTGCAAGGCACTTACACCCACCTGGAAATCAGGGGGACTTCAGAGACCTTAGAGGAAGAAGTCCAGATGGATGCTCTTATCAACTTGTCTACATCTACACCCTCACAAAGTTTATGGATGGTCCCAGGTGAACAGGATACACCTGAATGAAGAGCCACTATTCAGAAATATTTTAACAGGCTGGAAGATTTGTCCACCAGGAGATGCAGGAAGTTTAACAAAGGCAAATGTACAAAACACTTGCAAGAAAAGAAGCCTTCTTCTTCTCTGAGTAGATTGCATGAGACATTACTACAAAATATTTAGGTTTTTCCAGCATCTAGTGTGCATCTCTTAAGGTGTAGTTTCAATTAGTCTATCCCACCCTACAAAGAGAAAAATCAATGTTCTCACTCCATGAGCCTTTGTAATGTGCATCATCCATTTCCATCAATCCAGTTTGCACAAGGAAGTTCAAAGGAAACAAAACTAGAGTGTGAAAATGTTACATGAACTAGCCTCAACAGGAGGGAGGCACAAACTCTTCTCTTACTTCAACTGAGAAGGGTAAGTCACCTTATTTAGAGACAAGGCAAAGAGCAATCCTGAACCTAAGACCAAAGACTCTGGATTTTAAAATGGAAGAGAAGCTATTTAGAATCAAACCTTTGCCTATAAATGCATCCCAGAGATTGTCACATTTTGGTTCCTGAGCAGTTTTCAAGAGTTTCTTTTCATTTCTAAGTATAATGTTTATTTTAACATGGACTCATGACCCTCTTAAAACTGTACCTGTTTCCAAAATGTAGGTACAAGAAATATAAAAAGCCTACAGATGCTCTAAGGGGCTGGTGCTGCAATCCAGCACTTCAGCATGTGACAGGGACTCAACTGTGGCTTTACAGAGCTGGAAATTTCCAAAAAATAAAGTTCCTGTACTAGCTCCTGTCTTCTAGTGGTGGTCCCAGGGGCTGCAGAGCTGCCTGTGAGTGCCCAGCAGCAGGAAGGGCAGTGCAGCCCTGAGCTGTGGCCAGAATCCAAGTGCTGGCACAGCTGCACTCCCCAGAGGCCGGAGCTGCCAAGGGGAAGGCAGCAGCGCTTTCCAGGAACCCTGTGCCTCTGCCTAGGCTGAATTCCCAGCCTGTCACGAGGAACAGGAGGGCTGGAGCATCCTCATTCGAGGTACTCTGGCTGTACCTCAATGGTGAGACCATGAGTACAGCAGTCCTCACCTCACTGTGACCTCCCAGAGCTCCGAGAGCACGGCCACCCTTCCCAAAGCAGGAACTGCAGCAGCCACACACTGGTTAACAGCAGCATCTGCCAGCAGAGCTTAAAAACCAGACCCCAACCTTCAGATGCCACACTGGGAATCTGATACCATCACCAGGAAGCAATTGCTCAGTCTGGCTGCAGCTCAGTTTTCATGCCACTGTGTCAGGGATTTTGTTTTTACTAGAACTCCACTTGCCCTGATCATTTTATATCACTTTTGGTATGATTTATGGCATGGCTGAGAATATGATTACAGCAAGACCTGAGCCAACTGGAGATCAGGACACAGCACTACTGCCCACTCTACTTCCTAGCAACCAGCTTTTCTGAAGGAGATATCCTGATCACCCAGTTAGAGTCCAATGAGCATTTTCCTGCTGGAATTTTCAGGAAACCCCCCACTGCCGCACTAGAACTGCTCACAAGACAAATGCCAGGACAAACAGGCTGCAAGGTTTCCACTACCTAGGACTTTCCTCCAGCCCAGCAGGTCTGGCCCATGTCCCACCTGTGAAACTGCTGCTGAGGGCAAAGCCTTATTCTTCCTGCAGCAAGCAGGGCTCAAGGAAGCAATGGGAAAATAAAAATAATTTTTTTTTAAGTGATGGTTTTAGTATTTTAAATTGCCAGACTAGAAGCCAAAACATTTTGGGCTCTAGAGTCACCTCATGGCTCATGGCTCTCAGGTCAACTCATGGCAGATTAAAGACTTCCCAGACAATTTGGGGCAAACTTTTGATTCCTCTGATTCTGAAAACATCTCACCACTACATCACACGTTTCAATACAGGTATGCTGGTTTAGTGTGGCCACTGCAAAAGTCTGCGTAAACACTGAAAACAGCCTAAAATATGAGATGTTTCATGTTTAGACAGACTTAAGAAACAAAAATGGTCCACTCAGCTAAAATAAGAAGGTTTAGTTACATGGCGGTATGGATTATTTCAATGAAACCATTTCAGTAATTAATGAGGTTCATCTTAAGTTTAGTTTCATCCATCTTAAATTCAGGCTAATCCTCAAGTCACTGGAGTTTTCTGTTCTCTAGTTGTGAGCTCACAAGGGTGTTTTAACCTTAAGTCACTCAAATGTATCATGCACCTGCTTTTAGCCCTTTCCCATTCCTGGTGATTACCTGAATGAAGAGGATGAATGGATTCCTCTAACAGGAAAGGAGTATCCCAACATGCAGAAGCACCTCTCTCAACACTCAGCACTGCCAGGACCAAGTGCACAGGCAAAGGCAAGCAGAGCTTTACCAACACTGGCACTAACACATGGGGCTTTGGCACAAACCAGCAGCTTTCACACTGATCCCAGGTTGACCCAGCCCAGTTATGTCAATTTAGCCATTGCTCAGAATTGCCACTACCATTGCTTAGAAGTGCTGTTCACTTTTGCAGAGTAGTGAGCTAAGACTAACTAGTCGTGTCTCTTTTTCAGCTTTTCTACTGGGAATTTTGCCAAGCTTTTTCACCCCCTCCTCCATCCCCTGGATTACTCTTCCTTTTTTAAAGGTTCCTCCTCTGTTTGTTTGTGCTTTCCAGCTTTGGAAGCTCAGCAAGATTAACAAAACACGCCTGATGGCAAAAAGCATAGAGCTGTTAGTGATTTAAGGCTTGAACTAGAGATATGAGTTTTAAGCTGCCATCGGTGGAGCTCAGATCAACTTCCAGTGCCACTCAGACCTCAGCACCTCTGTTTGTTGGGGTTATTTTAATCCTGAGGCACAGCGCCCTCAAATGGCCCCGGAACGAAGGCTGGAGCCCCGAGGGCAGAGCATGAACTGCTTCTCACTACGGTTTAAGGATAAATCCCCATCATCAGGTGCGATCTGACAGGCACACTTCCCAGAACTATCTGCTGGGAATCACTGCCTAATGCCCCGCTAACTTCCTGAAGTACTTTAAACGTTATCAACAATAATTGCAAACTACTCAAGTCTTAAGCATCTCAGTCTCCACCACCGAGAAAATTTCTGTCCCACACAAGATCACCTGCTCCTACCAGGATGCTCAGAGGAGAGCCCGGCCCTGCAGAGCCACCTGAAACTACAGCTTCGGGCAGAGAAATCCTGACACTTGTGATGGGACAAGCACCTCGGATTGGGATGTTCCTCTGACCCCAACAGCGACAGGAGCCTGGGAAGAGCCAGAACTCTTGAGAGCTCTGCAGAGCTGCCACAGCATCAAGCCAAGATGACACCAAATCACCCCCAAAGGGAACAGGACACCTGTCCCATGGCTGGGGACAGTGACACAAGATGCTCCCTCCACCAGAACGCTCCTCCACCCTCGGGTTCTGCCACCCACCCACAATGGAACCGCAGGGCCTGAGGCGCCTCAGAGATGGCTGAGGCAGCTCCACAGGGAGAGGCAGGGTGGGCAGAACACCCACCATGGGACAGCAGCAATGCTCAGCAGGGCCCGGGAGGTGAGGAGACAGTGAGGCAAGGGGACAGGAGGGTCACCTCCCTGAGGGCAGGTGAAGCGCAGGCATCCCACCTCATGGGGCTGGCAGCAGCCAGCCTGAGGAGGGGAGCGGGGCGGAATGGCAGCACCAGCCTGAGGGGAGCAGGGTGGCAGCACCAGCCTGAGGGGAGCGGGGTGGGGTGGCAGCACCAGCTGTGAGGGGAGCGGGCTGGGATGGCAGCACCAGCCTGAGGAGGGGAGCGGGATGGCAGCACCAGCCTGAGGGGAGCGGGGCAGGACGGCAGCACCAGCCTGAGGGGAGCGGGGTGGGGTGGCAGTACCAGCTCTGAGGAGGGGAGCGGGATGGCAGCACCAGCCTGAGGGGAGCGGGCTGGGATGGCAGCACCAGCCTGAGGGGAGCAGGGCGGGATGGCAGCACCAGCCCTGAGGGGAGCGGGGTGGGGTGGCAGTACCAGCTCTGAGGAGGGGAGCGGGATGGCAGCACCAGCCGTGAGGGGAGCGGGGAGCGATGGCAGCACCAGCTGTGAGGAGGGAAGCGCGATGGCAGCACCACCCTGAGGGGAGCGGGGAGGGATGGCAGCACCAGCCGTGAGGAGGGAAGCGGGATGGCAGCACCAGCCTGAGGGGAGCGGGGTGGGATGGCAGCACCAGCCGTGAGGAGGGAAGCGGGATGGCAGCACCAGCCTGAGGGGAGCGGGGTGGGATGGCAGCACCAGCCTGAGGAGGGGAGCGGGGCGGGATGGCAGCACCAGCCTGAGGGGAGCGGGGCGGGATGGCAGCACCAGCCCTGAGGGGAGCGGGGTGGGGTGGCAGTACCAGCCCGGCGCAGGTGCTGAGGGAGGCGAAGGAGTCGCTGCGGTTCAGCGCGTGTCCCGAGTAGAAGCAGAGCCGCTCCCGCGGGGGCCGCCGCGCCTCCCCGCGCCGCCGCTCCACCGCGAAGCCCCGGGCCAGGAAGCGCAGGTCGCGGCGGAGGTGCAGGTACAGCTCGGCGCCGGCGGCGGGCAGGCGGAGCAGCACAGCCTCCTCCTCCTCCTCCTCCGCCGCTGCCCGCCGGCGCCGGGGGCCGCCGCGATCCCCTCCGGGCTGCAGCAGGTGGATCTTCTCCAGCGGCACTCGCTCCGGGATCACCATTTCCAGCTCCGCTCCGCCAGCTGCAGGCGAGAAGGAGAGAGGCTCAGGCGCTCGCACCCCGGAGCCGCGGCCCGACGGGGCGGCCGGGGGCTGCGGCACCCCCCGCTCCCCGGGACAGCCCCGCGCTCGGGTTTCAGCGCAGACAGCCCCGCGCTGGAAACCTGCGCAGACAATGGAGCCAGCGGAGCACGGCGATTTATTTATCTCTAAATACACATATAGTAGAGACAGAGCGTGCAGGGAAGAGAATAGAGCAAATGCTAAAGCTACTTGTATCATTAAAAAAAAATACATATATATAGCTCAGACACAAGCATCGCATTTCACCAACCCCAATAAAAATCTGCAGGGAGAAGGGGAAAAGCAGAGCGAGCCGCAGCAGCAGCCAAGGACAGTCAGCAGCTTTCCACATGGAACGCTACAGCAGTAGCGGGAGAACAGGAAAAGCAAATACAAAAGCCTGGAGCAATTCACCCCGCGGGCTGGGACGGCGGCCACGCAGGGGATGCGGTGCGTGCCCTGCGCTCCGCGCCCGCACGCTGCCGCCCGGGGCCGGACCCTGTCAGCGCCGCCTGGGAAGGGGAGCCGGGGCGGCAGGGAGCGCTACCTGTGCCGGCGTCCAGTCCGCAGAGCAGCAGGCAGGGCACGACGAGGGGCAGGAGGCAGCCGTCAAACATGGTAGTGCGGCGGCGGGGCCGAGCGCGCGGCGCGGCGACGGCAGCGGGGCCCGAGTGCGCCCTGCCCGCCCTCGGCACCGGGGATCGCCGCGGCGCGCGCCCGGCCACGCCCCCCGCCGCGGCTCCGCGCCCCCATTGGCGGCGGCGGCCGCCGGGACACGCCCCCCGCTCCCCCATTGGCTGCGCGCCGGCGGCGCCGCGAGGGGGGAACGCACGTGGGCGCGGGCGGCCGGTAGGGGGCGCCCTCTCCTGCCCCGGCTTAAGCCGTGAGGGACCCGCGGGGCCGCTCCGGGACCCGGTGCCGGTTCGGAACCCGCGGGGCCGCTCCGGGACCGGTGTCGGTTCGGAACCCGGTGCCGGTTCGGAACCCGCGGGGCCGCTCCGGGACCCGGTGCCGGTTCGGGATCCGCGGGGCTCCCGGGAACATCCCGGCCGGGTCAGGGGGTCTGACGGGCGGCATCCCGCCGCTGAGGAGCCCCATCGTGTTTCCTTGGTCTCCCTTTCCTCATCACTAATTCAATTTAGATCCAGTTACTTGAGAAAGTCACCCATTCCTTTCCCAGTGCCGACTGCAGGACCGGCGCCAGGGCTTGGAAGACCAGGAAAATAATTAGGTTGGCAATATCATAGAATGGGTTAGGTTGGAAGTCACCACAGAGGGACATCTGGTCAAGCCTCCCTGCTCAAGCAGGGTCATCCCAGACCACAGTATATGCACACACACAGATTTTGGGAAATGATCCCACATACTCACTCATTGTGTGGATGAAAATAAGAAATGCAGAAAGCTTAAGAGATACACAAATTAGTTTTTGCTACCAATTCCCATTTTCACTGAGGTCCTGCAGCCACTGGACTTCCTTCCCACCTGGCTGGGTCACATCCTGCCTGTCCTCAGCTGTGCAGGGACCAGGAGAACTCAGCCTGGACAGGGGCTGTTGAAAGCAGAAGGGTGATTTCCAAGAGCAGAAAGGTTTCCGCGCATTTGGTGGGCTTTGGATGGGATCCTGTGCTCCTGGCGTGGTTGAGTCATGGAAAGCAGTCAAGATCCAACCTGTTAGCAGCTTTAAATTGTGGTGGCCCAGCAGAGCAGTGTCCTAGAGTTTAAACTTCTGCAAAAATCTGCAACTCTTTTCCTGAAATTGTAGAAGAATTCAAAGGAAGACCCATAAAAGAGTGTGAATGACTCTGGCAGATCTCTCTGCAGCATTTCCACAAGAATTGTCCCGTACTGACAGCAGGAATGGCTCTGAGTTGCAAACAAGCAGAATTAGGTTTGGATGCTCCTCCCAGGGAGGGCAGGCATTGGGGGAGTGCTGAGAAAAGGGCTGTTTGGAGCTGGGAAAAGGACTGGTGAGAAACATGAGCACGTTAACACCGTTCTCTTTCTTCCAGGCATTGAACAGGCAGCAAGAGCCACGTTTTCTTAGCAAGCTGCTCCTGTACAAGGAGAGAGGCTGTTTGAGAGACAGAGCCTTGGAGCTGCCTCCAGCTCTTCACCCTGTTGGCTGTGCTTTTCCCAGGGACTCCCCATGGCACACAGTGGGCTGGTGTAGCACCTCAGAAAGCTCTGCCCTGCACAGGGCCTCTGCAGCACCTCATGGACACAAGAGCATGTCCCACCACCTCCTGCTGTGGCCTCAGCAAAGTCCCTCCTACCTCCAGTGGGGTGGCATTTAGAAGATGTTACCTGTGGTCATCAATAAGAGCAAAACTGAGGACCTGCAAGCAGGCTCCCAGCAGTCAAAGTCAGAGTAAGCCAAGAACCCCATGGCTCAAATTCTTTATTAACATGAGATCAGGTGAGTTTTAATAGCTCTGTGTTTCCCACTCTTTCTATCAGGGCTCACTCTGCTTCTAATAAGAATTTACCAAAGCAAAGGGACTGGCCCAGACCTATTCAAATGAGACAAAATCTCAGTTTGGGGCTGCCTTGTTCTGTGTCAGTAGTGTAACATAACACAGAAAACAAAACCTCAGAGACTGAATTTCCCTCCTGACCTGTTGCAAACCAACAATTTCAGTGCCTCCTTCCAAGGCCACGGCCCTGGTTGGCACAGAGTGAGGCAGAGCTCCCCCACAGCTCCTCCACCCGTGGCAATCCTCTGCTCCTGAGAACCACGAGGCAATTTGATTTGTGAGCTGCCAAACCTGGCCTGAGCCCTCATCAGCCCGTTTAAACCCAGACCACCAGCTGACTTCATTTGCTAAGGGACTGGAGCTGGTGCCTCCAAAGGGTTTGACGCAGGGGCTTAGATTTGCTTAAATTTTTAGTAGATCCTTTCTCCCACCTTCCAAAGTTCTCTGCCAGAAAAATAATAACAATACAGAGAAAGAATAAATTTAACAGTGTGGGGGAAGAGAGGCACCAATAAAGAGTAGTCTGTAACTTACTGCATGGAAGGACTTGCTCAGTGGCTGGGCTGGCTGGCACAGACTACACTGGAGTAGGGATAATCCCCGTGGAGCATCCCAGACTTCCAGAGCATTTGGACAGCAGCCCAAGAGCTGCAAACCCCAGGACAGGGGCTACATCCCAGGCAGGCATTGGCAGGAGCAAGGGGACAAGCCCCACAGTGGTACCCACACAACAAAAGAGGAATCTGTCTTGGGAGCAGCACTGGTGGTTTTCTTGCATCTAGATCCCAAAGTTCCAGTGAGACACATTAATTGAACACCACAGACTTTTCAGAAATGCCTTGAAATTGTTTCTGATAAGGATAAGGCATGTGTGGCAGGAGGGGGCTGTGGTCGTGTTGTGGAGGTTGCATTGCTCCCCTGCTCCCAGCCTGTGGGGAGGGGGAGATTTCTCTTCTCACTATCACAGAGGTGGATTTGGCCCTGCAGTTCCTAGGAAACAAGCCCTCTCCCCCTCTGAAACTGGTGTTGGGGTGTTGGAGGTTTTTTTTCCCAATTTTAAATGTGTGTCGAAGAAGCCAAGTTTCATGGCCATTATTGCAGAGTTAATAACCCTTTGGAGACTGCAGACATGTGTTATATCCATCTTCCCGAGCAGTCACTTGGCTCGCCACCTGGAAAATGCCAGCATGGGAAGGGTTAACTTGGCCACTGCTCAGCCTTCTCTCTTCTCCAAACCCTTCCTGTCCTGGTCCTCTCCCCGACCTCACAGGTGCTGCTCTCCTGCCGGGATACTCCGGTGCTTTTCCTGCTCTCCCCGCAGCTCCTCCCCTCTCTGCAGCCTTTGGGAATCGGGAATTCACAAAAAATCCTCCCCTCCGGAGGCTGCAGAGCTTGGCCAGGCTGCTTGGGCACGGACCTGGCAGGTGCTGCTGTTACCTGTGCAAATGACCACCCAAAGAAGACAGTTTAGTGACAAGTAGGGACCAACAAAAGCTCTTTTGTAACTTCAAATCATCAGCCAAATAAACACAAGTGGTTTCAGAGGTGCCAACAGTGGTTTTCTTACAGACTGGCTTGGCACACTGAGCCAGAGGTTCAATTAGAGCTCTTCTCTGGTGGAGGGTGTTTCAGGCTGTGCTGCTTCATGTTGGACTCACTTCTTACAGGTGGTCTCAATGATCTTTAAGGTCTTTTTTAGTGGAGTCACCAGCATCTAGTACTGTTCATGCAGCCCTTAGCAGAGGCATTTAGGGGGTTTCTCCTTACAGTAGCTTGAATTCTCCTAAGCCTGTAAAAGAAAAACTGCCCCTAGGACACCTCTCTTAAGTCTGGCTCAAAATGGCTTTTGTCAAAGAGAGTTTGCTTTGGCTGAGCTGTGTCTGTCTCATAGTGAGTGCATCACATGAGGTTTTCCCTGAAGATCTTCCCTACAAACACTTTCCCCCTGCCTATCTCCAGAGAGCTCCCAGCTTCACCCAGCTGCAATGGGGAAAAATACCCTGTTCCAAAGAATACTGAGAAATGAGAAGAAAAATATTCCTGTGGGATAGGGGCTGAGGAATGGACTCCTGAAATTCCAGGTTGCTTCATGACTGGCTCCATTCCCATCCTGGTGCTATGGCTGTCTGCGCAAAACCTTCCAGAGTAACTTTGATGCAGATTTGAAGGGATCAGTTTGCAACAGTGTTAGGATGAGGAAATAACTGCACACAGGCCACAGCGGGTGAGAAAAGTCAGGAATATACAAGAACATACTCCCAGCTGAGCAACACAACTGCAGGGTGCTGGGAGAATCCGCTCCCTCAGGGCAGGCAGCACTTTGTGTAGAGAAATCAGAAATATAAGTGCACCAGCACCTCCAGGCAGGCCAGGCTGGGATTTTCAGATTTTCAGACAGACAGGACTAGTGCAGGTCACTCTGGGATCAGGAGGCCGTGCACAGATAGCCATCGGCCCGGCCAGCACCGTCAGCCACGCGTCACTCCCCAGGCATGCAGGGACAAATGGACAAAGCAAAGAGCTGCCATTGTTTGACCCTAAAGTTCAGCCAGGCTTTTTTATGAAGTCCGGTGTTGCCACCTCTGATGATGTTATCAGGAACCTGGGAATAGCTGGCACTTTCTTTCATTATTATTTATGGTTTGTTTGGGTTTTCCTTCTCTGGACCTTGGCTCCTGCAATCATGAGATTGATTTCTCATTTAACTCCATGTTTGATCCCCTGACAGGCTGGGAAACTGAGCTAGGAGAAGCCTAGAGAGTTTTTGCCCAGGAGAAAATGAAGTAGTTCCTAGCCATGGGATTGTTTAAGATAATCCTTTCTCAAAAATGATGCTATTGCTTCTTTTTTGTGTGTGAGTGTGTGGAGAGGGAAGCTCTGAATGCTTGGAGCTGACAACGGCAAAGCCCTTCATGCAGGTGCCACCTCCCTGGCACTGGCAATATCCCACATCTGGTGTTCCCCATCTCCTCTCAATCATCTCTCTTTGTGTCCAACACCTGCCTTGAATGAGAATCATGCCCCCAAACTGAATATTTCATATAAGGCTTCTCCTTGTCTGCATATTTCTTGCAGCAAGACATAAGGAGCCAGAGGGGGAGATTTGTAAGCCAAGAAGGGGCTGCATGTCTTGGAAGAGCTGATGCCAAGGGGATGCACAAAGCACTTCATCCATCTGCATGGATGGCTACTGGAGCCTGGACTC